GCAGCTGTCCAGGCACTTGGCTTCTCTAGAGTACCCCTACCACCAGCCGGGCCTTTTCTACCATGTTGGGTCAGTCTTTAGCGGGAAGCCCAAGCCACTAGGAGCCCTGCCACCAAATATCACATATCCGATAAGAAGTTACCCCTCTATATCTCCTCCAGGGGTCCTGATGGCTCTGGCTCTGTAATGTACTGTGACGAATCCTGCCAACTGCATCAATTGTTCTACAAGTGTTTGAGACCAAGGCAGGTTCACACGGGATTTGGGCAGACAGAAGAATATATGCGGAGTCATCTGGATGTCTGACATGCCTTTATTCTGGTGTAGGATGATCCACATGTGCCACAAGCCACGAGTTGCATTGTGGGAAGTCCTAACTCCCTTATATATTAAGTGTACGCAAAGCTGGCAGGGTGCCAATACTGGCCTTCAGGTTATATTGCAGAGCTTTATTCTATGTGTGCAGGCCCCTATTCAAGGTTATATGAACACTGCTAAGTTATGCTGTCTGTACATCCAGATGAGGGAGCCTGACTGACTCTGTTGTCCCTACACCAATCTATAGAGGAGCCTGACTTGCCGGAACAGTACATATGAGACCTATACAAGGAGATAATCGCTTCCTGCTAAGTATAATTATAGAATTACATTTTTAAGAAAGAAAACTTGACCACAAAAACAATATAAAATTTAGCACATAAGTGTGTCCAATCATGTAATCTGACACAAGACAAAGTAAACCTACATGTTAATACTTGAGCCAAGAACTACCAGACTTCTCTTCATCACAACTCAGCTATGCAACATGAACCAGAAGACTGAAAAGGTCTCAAGGTATGTTTCTAAGAAGTCAGGGTAGGAAGGTTGGCTAAGCTCATGTTTTCAACAAAAACATTAAAACATAAGAGGTTAAGTTTCCATAAAGGTATTATTCTTGTACCCACCTGCATCCAAAACTCTCTGATTTGTAGATGCTGACTTTCTTGCAAAGAATTTGCTCGTACGGTTCTGCTCTGCACTGAAAAAATGCAAATAATTGTGGAAAGCAAGCCAGAGATAAAATCAGCCCCTGCTGATTGTTTTTCCTTTCTACCTAGGCAGGGGTGTGTGTGTGTGTGTGTGTATTACTGCATCGCGCAGCCACATAATGCGGAATATTGTGTCCCTAAGATCAATTTATTTGGCATTTAGTGAAGAGCAACAAGCTCATTTTAAAAGTGTTTCCCTAAATATCATGGACTTATTCTCAAAGGCTGAGAAAATATCTTGGTTACCTTCCTTTTTTATATGTAATACTTGGAAGAAAGACCAGCATGAATGAATCAATGGCTTACTGAATTCTGTACATCTTACTTTTTCTTTTGCCCTGTGTGAGAGTGAATACTAAGATAAATGCTAATCTCTTGACAAAAAATAAAGTAAGATTAGAAAGACAAATAATGTATTTCAATTAGTTAATACAAGACCATAGCTAACTCTGTTAAAAGCCCCCTCTATAGCTTAATCATTGTCACATTGCAAACTCTACCTTAATAAAGAGAAAAACTTTAAACTATGGCCTTCCTCAATTTTTCCTCAATTCCTCTGAGAAATCATCTGTTTAAATTTGACTCTAAATTATTAAATTAGCTGATGTTCCTTTCTAATTCATTAGCCCTTTGGTTAAAGGAAAGGTTTGGTGCTCCAAATCTGGAAATGCATAGACACCTCCCTGGCATTGTGACTACACTTTGGGGTAAGTAGGTGATAGATGAAGAAATTTCTCTGTTGAAGTTGATGAGGCTTTCTCCATTTCTAGGAAACCTTTCTCAATTATGGTTTTATAGCTTTAAGAACCTTGTCTTTACATGCAATACTTGTATTTAGTGATATTACAGTCTTTTAAGCAAACCTGGTACCCAAACGAGTTTTGAATTTTTCGTGAGATGTTGTAATATTTTAGGAATAACCATAAGTGATTCTATAATCTTGCAGAGGTTTTATGTTAAAACTGAAGAAACCATAGTGAATATAGTAGTTCCTCCTTTATTACCAATTTTTTTTTCTGAAGTTTCAGTTAATGGGAAGTAACAATGGTTCAAAAATGATGAAATTTCAGAAATAAATAATGTATAAGCTTTTAATTGCACACCATTCTAAGTACTGTGATGAAATTTGCATGGTCCAGCTCCATCCCACCTAGGGCATGAATCATTCCTTTGTTCAGCATATCCATAATGTGTACACTCCATGCTCATTAGTCACTTAGCCATCTGGGTTATCATGCTGAAGGTCACAATATTGCAGTGCTTGTGTTGAAGTAAGCCTTATTTAGATTAATAATGACCCCAAAATTCAAGAATAGTGATGATGGCAAATCAAGTATGTCAAAGAGAAGCTGTAAAGTGCTTCCTTTAAGTGAAAAGGTATGTATGGAATCAAGATGGTGGAGGAGTTAGTGGAAGTCACACTGACCTCTTCCCAGGACCAACCTGAAATTACAACTAATTGGTGGAGAAATCACCTGGAACAAACAACTGAAGAATAGTGAGAGAGGAGCCTTTTAACCTCTAACAGATAGAAGAATCAGCTTTAGCACAACATCACTGATAAGGAGTGTGGTAGAGACTCAAGAAGGCGGGTGGGGAACCCTCAGTCAGCAACACCAGAAGGATGTTGAAAAGGCCAGTTGGATCCCCCTGAGAAGAGAGAGCCTAAACCGTAAGTGGGGATCTCCAGCCTACAGCACCAGAGCACAGAAAGTAGAGAGAAAAGAACCAGCTCCAAAAAGCAGCAGGATTGCTCTCCACCAGAGAGAGGAGGCTGGAGATGCAAAGAGCAGTTTAAAGGGCCAATGCATACATTTTTATTTACAGTCACTTACCCTGGGCTTCAGCAAAGGTGAGGGCAGGGTGGGCTGGAAATGCCTGAGGAGACACTGGGGAGGGTGGCTTTGAGAGAGAGCTGAGAGAGTAGCCAGTGGGATCCCAGTATTGACTCATCCTCCAGACAGTGGTGTCCATCTTGCTCTAGCAGACCACTCCCCTGAGCAGCAGCAGCAAGAGAGGACACAATAACCTTGCCGCTAGGAGGGCCTCGGCCCCACTCTGTTGTGTCTCTAAGCTGGCCTCTTAAGTGCAGAGTGGCAGCCACAGATTGTAGGTCCCTAGCTAAAGGGAGCACAGAATGGTCTAGAGACAATTGAGGAGAGACTGGAGGCAGAGGATTTGGGGAGAAAACAGAGAGAGTAGTGGGCAGAATCCATCCCGGTGCTGACCTCCCTCATTCAACAGCACCTTCTGGCTCAGATAGACCACTCCCCTAAGTGGCAGCAGCGTGAGGGGACAAAATAACCCCACCCACAGGAGGGACCCTGTCCTGTCCTGTGGTATCAGAGCTGAATGCAGATTGACTAGATTAACAGATGAAGGAGACAGCCATGGATGGTAGATTCCTAAAAGTGTCTAATAGACTGCCTAAGGTTAGGCAAAGTCAACATCTGATATCATCAGGGGCAGATAGAGAAAGAAAAAGAAATGTGGTCTCCTACCAGAGAAGTTCACACCACAAAGTCAGGAAATCAAGAAAGATCAATTTAAGAAGCAGAATCAAAAGAGAAGAGACGAACGAATACCCAGTAAGGATCTCAAATAAAATGGAAGGCAAAATAAGGAGGTTCCCTGACAAAAGAATGCTAAAAGAATATATCTCCACCAAACCAACCTTGCAAAATATGCTAAAGGACTCCTTTAACAAGATGAAGAAAAAGAGTCTATGAACACCCAGTTCCTTTCATGGTCACCAATACTTGATATTACCAATATTTTCAATTCTTAATAATCTGATTGTGACAATGATGTGTTATTTTAATTGTTTTTTTTTGTTGAAGCTAAACTTGTTTTTGTGTATTTCTTGCCTATTTCTATTATTTTTTTAAAAAGCTTTAAATGAATTTTGTTATTCTTTATCCATTTTTTTATGTTGACTTTCTTTTTTAATTTTATTTTAATTTATTTTTTCAAATACATTTGTCTCTGCCTACCCCCCACCACTTTATCTTGCCCCCTCCCTCCTTCCCTCCCTCAGCTCTTCCCCTTTGGTTTTGTCCATGAGTCCTTGCTATATGTTCCTTGACTTTCCCCTTCCCTTCCTTTTCCCCGCCCCCCCCATCCTTCCCTCTTGTCTCTGTTGATTTCTTTTCCTTTCAGTGTTGCTGGTCTTATTTTCCTTGCATCTTTGTATTGTTGGTTAGGTTCCGCTTATAGGTGAGATCATATGGTATTTGTCTTTCGCCCCCTGGCTTATTTCACTTATCATAATGCTCTGCAGTCCCATCCATGCTGTTGCGAAGTTTAGTAGTTCTTTTTTTCTTTCTGCTGTGTTTTTATCCATTTTTTGATTAAAAGTTTGTAGTATTTTTTCCATAAAATACCCCAAAACTATTAACCCTTTCATTGATGTGTTTCAAATACTTTCCTATCCTATTACTTGGCCTTTTACTTTTCTCATCTGTATATTACTACATAGTCTTAAATGTTTAAAATAGTCACACTGTCAATATTTTATTTTATAACTTACGGGTTTGAATATGTTACTTCAGGGTAAGAAAATTATTATTTTGTATTTTCTCTGAAAGCTCCTTAGTTTTTACATACTGATTTTTAACTCACCTGTATATATTTTTTGTGTGAAATAAGGCTCTACATTTGTTGTATTCCAAATAATAGTGGTCCATGAATCTTATTTCTTGAATAAGTCTTATTATCCCTATTGATTTGAAATATCAACTTAATCATATATTCCATTGTTACGTGGATATATACATTTGTTTCTAGAATGCTCATTTTATTTCACTGATCTACTTTATCATGTCTGTGCTGGTATCATGTTGTTTTAATTGCTGAGACTTTATAATGAATTTAAATATTTTATTATAATGTATCTTGACATTTAAAAATAAATAAAATCAGGGGAGGAATATGGCGGAGGAGTGAGTGGAGGTCTCGCTGAACTCCCCCCAGGACCAAACTGGAATTACAGACAAATTGTGGAGAAATCACCTGGAAAACAATGGAACGATAGTGAGAGAAGAGTCTTGGAGCCATTGACAAACAGTGGAATTGGCTTTCACACATCCTAACTGGTGAGAAGCATGGTGGAGTCTTGAGGAGGTGGGTTGGGTCCCCACAGGTGCCAGCCCCAGAGGGATATTGAAATGGCCAGTTGGATCCCCGTAAGAAGTACAGGGTCTGAGCCATAAACGGGGACCTCTAGCCAACAGCATCAGTACCCAAAAAAAGCACACAGACAAAAGACAGCTAAGAAAAGTGTAGTACGGCTCTCTGCCAGACACAGGCGGCTGGAGACGCAGAGACATTTCAAGGGCCAAAGCAAAAATGTGCAGTGGGAGCCACCCTCCTTGGTCTCTGGGCAGAGACAGGGGCAGAGTGGGCTAGAGCCTGAGGAAAGATCAGTGAGGCGAGCTTTTGGGAGAGAACTGAAATGGTGGCCAGCGGGGCCCTAGTGATGACTCGCCTCCCACTCTGCAGCTTCCATCTTGCTCAAGCATAATGACCTAACCCTACAACATGGAGAACTGGAGAAACAACAACATACAAAGCCCAGAGCAAGTATAAGAAAGGAAATAATCAAGATCAAAGTAGAATTGAATAACATAGAGACAAAAAGAACAATTCAAAGGATAAATCAATCTAGGAGCTGGTTCATTGAAAAGATAAACAAAATCGATAAGCCTTTAAGCAGACTCATCAAGAAAAAAGGAAGAGGACTCAAATAAATAATATCAGATATGAAAGAGGATAAATAATAACTGATTACACAGAAATGCAAAGGAGTGTAAGAAATTACTATGAACAATTATATGCCATGAAATTTGAAAACCTGAGTGAAATGGACAAACTTTTAGAAAAATATAACCTTCCAAAACTAAATGAATAAGAAGCAGAAAGCCTAAACAGACCAGTAGCAAGTGGGGAAATTGGAGCAGTAATCAAAAAACTCCTGGCACACAAAAACCCCAGGCTGGATGGTTTCACAGAAGAATTTTACAAAACATTTAAGGAAATGCTAACCCCTGTCTTACTCAGAATATTCCAAAAAATCTAAGCCAAGGGAAGACACCCAAACTCTTTTTATAAGGCTAGCATCATCCTAATCCCAAAACCAGATAAAGACACAGCAAAGAAATAAAACTACAGGCCCATATCGCTGATGAACTTAGATGCTAAAATGCTCAACAAATTATTGGCAACCACATCCAGCAAAACAAAAAAGATCACCCATCATGATCAAGTGGAATTCATCCCAGGGATGCAGGGATGGTTCAATATATGCAAATCAATAAATGTAATACATAAGGGAAACAAAAGGAAAGACAAAAATCACAAGATCATCTCAATAGATGAGAAAAAAGCATTTGATAAGGTACCACACCCTAAAGGATGGTGTGATCAAAACACTCAGCAAAATGGGAATAAAGAGGTCATACTTCAACATAATAATGGTGTTCAACATAATAAAGATGAAAAACCTACAGCCAACAACGTACTCAACAGGCAAAAACTAAAAGCTTTCCCACTAAGATTAGGAACTAGACAAGGATGTCTGCTTTCACCGCTTTCATTAAACATAGTATTGGAAGTCCTAGCCACAGCAGTTATATTGGGAAAAAAAAAAGGCATCCAAATTAGAAAGTACAAAGTAAAGCTATCACTGTTTGTGGATGACATGATAGTTTACATAGAAAACTCTATAGACTCCACCAAAAAACTACTCAATATAATAAGTGAATTTGGCAAAACAGCAGGATACAAAGTCAATATCCAGAAATCAAACACATTTTTGTACACCAACAATTAAATAGCAGAAGCAAAAATCAGAAAAAAAATACCATTTTCTATAGTAACAAGAAAAATAAAGTACCTAGGAATAAATTTAACCAAGGATGTGAAAGACCTATATGCAGAAAACTCTACAACACTGAAGAAAGAAATTAAGGAAAACACAAATAAAGGGAAGCATATACCGTGTTCATGGATTTGAAGATTGAATATCATGAAAATGTCCGTACTACCCAAAGAAATTTATAGATTCAACATTATCCATATTAAAACACCAATGATATATTTCAGAGACATAGAACAGACATCTCAAAAATTTATATTGGACCATAAACAACCCTGAACAACCACAACAATTTTAAGAAAGAAAAACAAAACAGGAGGGATCACAATATCAGACATAAAACTATATTACAAGGCCACTGTAATCAACACAGTCTGGTACTGGCACAAGAACAGACACATAGATCAGTGGAAGAGAATTGAAAATCCGGAATTAAACCCATGTCTCTATGGTCAGTTAATATTTGACAAAAGGGGCAGAAGCATAAATTGGAGTAAAAGTAGCCTCTTCAACAAATGGTGTTGGGAGAGCTGGACAGCTACATGCAAAAAATTGAAATTCGACCACCAGCTGACACCATACACAAAAATAAACTCAAGATGGATAAAAGACTTAAATATGAATCATGACACCATAAAAGTCCTAGAGGAGAACACAGGCAAGAAACTCAGATACCCCATGCAGAATTATTTTCACTGATATGTCCCCTAAAACAAGGAACATAAAGGAAAGAATAAACAAGTGGGACCTCATTAAAATAAGAAGCTTCTGCATGACTAAAGAAAAGAGCAAAATGAAAAGGGAACCAACATTATGGGAAAATATATTTGCCAATGATACATCATATAGAGGTTTGATTGCCAAAATATGTAAGAACTCACATGACTCCACTCCAAGAAAAAAAAACAATCCAATTTAAAAATAGGCAAAGGACCTGGACAGACACTTCTCCAAGGAAGAGAAACAGAGGTCCCAGAGGCATATGAAAGGATGCTCAGTATCACTAGCCGTCAGAGAAATGCAAATTAAAACCACAATGAGATACCACTTCACAACTGACAGAACAGCCATCATAAACAGATCAACAAATAACGAGTGCTGGCGAGGCTGTGAAGAAAAGGGAACCCTACTACACTGTTGGTGGGAATGCAGACTGGTGCAGTCACTGTGGAAAACAGTTTGGAATTTCCTCAAAAAGCTAAAAGTGGAACTGCCTTTTGACCCAGCGGTTCCACTGCTGGGATTATACCCTAAGAACCCCAAGCCACCAATTCAGAAGAACCTATGCACCCCAATGTTCATAGCAGCACAATTTACAATAGCCCATTCCTACAAGCAACCTAAATAATTATCAGTAAATGAGTGGATCAGAAACTATGGTACATTTACAGAATGGAATACTATGCAGCAGATAGAAAGAAAGAGCTAGTACTCTTCGTAACAGCATGGATGGAATTAGAGAGCATTATGCTAGGGGAAATAAGCTGGTGCGGGGGAGACAAATACCATATGATCTCACCTACAAGTGGAACTTAACCAACAAAACAAACAAGGAAGGAAAATATAACCAGCAACATGGAAAGAAAAAAGAAACAAACAGAATTAAGAAGAAAGGGTGGGGCGGGGAAAGGGAAGAGAAGGGTCAAGTCAAGGAACGTATGTCAAGGACTCATGGACAAATCCAAAGTGAGGAAGGATTGAAGGAGGGAGGTGGGGGAGGGGGGCAGTGGAAAGTGGTGGTGAGAAAGTGGAGAGAAATGTATTTGAACACAGAATCAAAATTTAAAAAAAAGGACCCATGGACAAAGCCATTGTGAGGAAATATTGAAGGAGGGAAGTGGGTGAGGGGGCAGGGGAATGGGGTGGTGGAAAGGTGGAGACAAATGTATTTGAACAATAAAAAAATAAAATTATTTTTAAAAGTTAAAAAAATAATAAAATAATAAAATAAATAAAATCAATCTACATTTTAAAAAGAAAGAAAGAAAGAATAAAGGAATTTCTACCTTTTGCAACATTATGGGTGGAAGTGGAGAATATTAAGCTAAGTGAAATAAGACAATTGGTGAAAGACAAATACCATATGTTCTCACCTATAAGTGGAATCTATTCAACAAAATAATCTAACAAACAAAATCAACCACAGGCAAGGAAACATGGAGCAGGTTGCTAGTAACCAGAGGGGATGGGGAAGGAGGACAATGGTGGAAAGAAAGGGAAGGGACTAGACAAAGAACATGTATGAATGACCCATCATCATGTACAACAGAGTGGGAATTTGCTGTGGGAGAGGGGGGTAAGGAGGGTTAGGTGGAGGAGGGCAAAGGGGGAAGACTTAAGACAACTGTAATAGAATAAACATGATTTAAAGATAAAATTTAAAAAATCTTAAATAAAAGTGAAAAGGTATGTATGTATAGAGAAAAACATAGTATATATGGGGTTCCATACAACCAACAGTTTCAGGCATCAGCTGTGGATCTTGGACCATATTCACCAATACTAAGGACAGGCTACTGATCAATAACTGTATATTGACTGGTATAAGGCCCATTCCTGGTACTTCAACAAACTTTCTCTGAGTGGTCTGGATTTCCAAAATGTTTCATTACTTCGTTTTCTAGTCAGATATTTCCTGAAAGAGGTCCTCGTTGCTTCCTAAGTTTTAAAATCACTCGACTCCACTCCAAGAAGACAAATGATCCAATCAAAAAATGGGCAAAGGACCTGGGCAGATGCTTTTCCAAGGAAAAGATACAGAGGGCCCAGAGACTTTTGAAAGGATGCTCAGCATCACTAGCCATCAGAGAAATGCAGATCAAAACCACCATGACGTACCACCTCACACCAGTCAGAACGGCCATCATAAACAGCTCAACAAACAACAGGTGCTGGCGAAGCTGTGGAGAAAAGGGAACCCTAGTATACTGTTGGTGGGAATGCAGACTGGTGCAGCCACTGTGGAAAGCAGTGTGGAATTTCCTCAAAAAGCTGTAAGTGGACCTGCCTTTTGGTCCAGTGATTCCCCTGCTGGGACTATACCCTAAGAACGCCAAAACACCAATACAAAAGAACCTATGCACCCCAATGTTCATAACAGCACAATTTACAATAGCCAAATGTTCGAAGCAACCTAAATGCCCATCAGTAGATGATTGGATCAAAAACGTGATGGTACATACGCACAATGGAATACTACACAGCAGAAAGAAAAAAAGAACTTCTAAACTTCGCGACAGCATGGATGGAACTGGAGAGCATTATGCTAAGCAAAATAAGCCAGGGGGTGAAAGACAAATACCATATGATCTCACCTATAAGCGGAACCTAACCAACAATACAAAGATGCAAGGAAAATAAGACCAGCAACACTGAAAGGAAAAGAAATCAACAGAGACAAGAGGGAAGGTCGGGTGGGGAAAAGGAAGGGAAGGGGAAAGTCAAGGAACGTATAGCAAGGACTCATGGACAAAACCAAAGGGGAAGAGCTGAGGGAGGGAAGGAGGGAGGGGACAAGGGAAAGTGGTGGGGGGAAGGCAGAGACAAATGTATTTAAAAAGTAAATAAATTAATTAAAAAAATAAAAAAATAAAAATAAAAATTATTATAATAAAAAACAAATAAATAAAATAAAAAATAAAATCAAGTTCCCAGTTTTTATTTTATTTTATTTTTTTATATATACAATAAGGTTTTAATATCCAAAATATATAAGAAATTCATACAACTCAACAACAACAACAACAAAATTTCTGATTAAAAAGTGGGCAGAGGACCTGAGTAGACATTTCTGCAAAGAGAACATACAGATAGCCAATAGACATACAAAAAGATGCTCAATATCACTAATCACCAGTGTTTTAAAATTTTTGCTTCATGTGTTTTGAAGCTCTGCAGTTGACTCTTAACACATTTAGAATTGTTATGTCTTCCTAGTGGATTAATTTTTACAATTCTGTATTTTCCCTCATTGCCTCTAATCATTTTCTTTGCTCTAAACATGGCCTTACCTAAAATTAACATAGTCACCCCAATTTTTAATTAATGTTTGCATTATATACCTTCTCCCATCCTTTTACTTTCAATATACCCATGTCCTAGTATTTCAAGTTCCCAGTTTTTAAAGACAGGAATCTGCAGTACTTTTCATTTAAGTGTTTACTGTGAGCTAGAAACTATAGTAAGTCAAGTATTTTACATACATTTTCTAAATTGAATCCCCACACCAATCCACTGAGTTAGAGGATGACTCTTATCATCCCCCTTTTAGAGATGACAATACTGAGGTTTAGTGCGAATGTGGTGTTTGTTTCAGGTTGCATACCAACCGTGGAATCTAATTTCAGTGCAGATCTGCCTGATTCTGCAGCCTCTCTGCTAACCATGTCCAGTTTGTTTTTTGATAGCCTTTTGTAAATTCTCATTTGGTGCCATGATATTTCAGAAATTATGCACCATTTGGTTATAGATTTTAAATGTTAGGAAACCAGTTCTTCATCACCAAGTGCTGACTGATATGTACTTAACATTTCACTTGTTTTTTTTTGGTATGGACTGGATTTCCAAATTATTTCATCAACTGATTATTGGTCAGATATGTTTCTGAAGAGAATTTTAATAGTGAAAGTTATTTTGAATTTTCAATTGTCAAGTATATTTTGTTTAAAGATGAGAATAGCTGGTAGTTTTAATTCCCTAAGTGTTGAAATATTATGGAAAAGAGAACCCCCAAACATGTTTGCTAACAAATGGCTTAGTGAATGAATTAACAGATTGTGCCCTTTATTTATTTATTTATTTTTATTTTTGGATGTTTTCTATGAGTCTTACAACCTGGGCATAATGTGATGAGTTATTCTGCTGAGAAACCAGAGTTGAAAGGCTAAACAGGATTTATAGAATACACAGAGTAAATCCTGAGTTTGGGTTGTTTGCATGTCACCCTTCCTTTGCAGCCTTAACTCACATGCCTGCATTTATGGGACTGCATCCAAAGCTTTCTCCTGTGAACTGGTGGAAATGGCTTCCCAACACCATGCATCCGATTTGTCTGAGTTTTCATTGACTAGTGCAGAATCCTAGACAGGCCCCAGCAGATTGATGTTGCTGCTGGTGGATCCCAGAAAGCTGGACATTTCTCAGTGAATAGATACATGCGTAAGTGTGCTGTGAAAAGAGAAAAGAATGGGACGCAACACAGTGCCTGCAAGTACACATGCACGCACACACACACAGAGTTAGTTAATGGAAAAGAAATGGATCTATTGTTATTGAGCATTTTGGCTGACACCATAAATTAAATGGCACATTTGTCTAAAAAATTTCTACTTTATATTTGTCAAGTGCTCTCATTTGAGAAGCTTTAAAGGCACACACTACTCCATAATAACTGATCCATTGACACTATTAAGTGAGCAACATGGTCTGAGGATGAGTGAGACAGGGAAATTGAAGAGGTACTTGAAAGAGTCGTGAAAAGAAAACAGAAGAACAAATCTCGTGTGCCAATGGTCGGATTATTCAGCAGTGGGAATAAGAAAAGGTGGAGCTGAGTCTACACAGAGGTCCCTTTATTAACAGGGCTATGTGGGCACCTGTGGGACCTGGGCAAATTTCCTTGCTGAGATGAGTTGGAGTGATTTCTTAAAATCCTTGCTGGTGCAGCCCATTAACCAAATCCTCTAAACTGAAGAAGTATTCTTTCTCTCTCTCCATTCTTTACTCGAGGACATTTGTTCATTGCATTTAGAGAAAGAGGAAGGAAAAGATGAAGGGAGAGAAAGAAACATCAATGTGAGAGACAAACATCAACTAGCTGCCTCCCTTATATATCCAGATCAGGGATTGTATGCACCTGGATAGGGAATTGAACCCACAGCCTTTGGATTAGAGGACAAGTCTCTAATCAACCAAGGCACACCAGCTGGAGCTCTTTCAAAAAAAAAAGAGATTTGGGAGGTATTTGTTTATGAGATTATATAGGATTCAGGGATACGATTTTATGATGCATCATCTATATATTCATTATATTGCATGTTCACCACTTCAAGTCAAGTCTTCTTCCATCACCATTATCTGCCCTTTACCCTCTTCTACCTCACCCCCTCCCCTCACCCCCCTTTTTCTTCTGGTAATCACCATACTGCTATCTATCTATGACATTTTCTTCTTTGTTTAATCCCTTCACCTTTTTACCTTGTCCCCCTTCCCCCTCCCCTCTGACAGAATCAGTGTATTCTCTGTAACTATGAGCTTGTTTCTACTTTGTCTGTTAGTTTATTTTGTTCATTAGATTCCACATATAAGTGAAATCATATGATATTTGTCTTTCCCTGACTGGCTTATTTCACATAGCATAATACTCTCAGGTCTATAAGAAGGTGTTCTCTCATACAGAGGGCAAAGAAATGGAGAGGAGCAGGGTAGAAAAGAGCTGCACATTACATCTTTTAAATGTAGTCTCATAACTTCTT